ATTGGTATTAGCTCTTCTTTGCATTTCTGGTAGAATTCTGCAATGAAACGATCATGCCCTGTGCTGTTTTGGTTAGGAGTGTTCGATAACTGCTTTTATTTCATTAAGGGTTATAGGTTTATTTACATTGCTTATCTTATCTTGACTTAAATTTGGTAAATAATATCTATCTAGAAAATTGTCCATTTCCTTAGGAACTTCTAATTTTGTGGAGTACAGCTTTTCAAAGTATGACCTGATGATTTCTGGGTTTCCACAGTGTCTGTTGTTATGTCCCCCTATTCATTTCTGATTTTGTTAATTTTCATATTCTCCCCTGCCTTTTGGTTAGTTTGGATAATTGTTTATCTATCTCGTTGATTGTCTCAAAGAACCATCTCTTTGTTTCATTGATTCTTTGTATTGTTTTCTTTGTTTCTACTTCATTGCTTTCAGCCCTCAATTTAATTATTTCCTGGCATCTAGTCCTCCTGGGTGAGTTTGTTTCTTTTTGTTCTAGAGCTTTCAGGTGTTCTGTTAATTCTCTTGTGTAGCTGTCCTCCAGTTTCTTGATGTGGGTGCTTAGTTCTATAAACTTTGCTCTTAGAACTGCTTTCAGTGTGTCCCATAGGTTTGGGTATGTTCTGCATTAATTTTCACTGAATTCTAGGAAGTATTTGATTTCTTTCTTTATTTTTTCCTTTACCCAAGAGTGATGCAATTGAGCATTGTTCAATTTCCTTGAGTTTGTGGTGTTTCTGCAGTGTTTGTTGTTGAATTCTAAAGTTTTGCCTTGGTGGTCCAAAAATATACAGGAGTTATTACATTATTTTGTGTCAGTTGAGGTTACTATATTGCCAAGTATGTGGTTGATTTTAGAGAAGGTGCCATGTGATACTGAGTAGTAAATGTATTCTTTTGTGTTTGGATGCAATGTTCTATAGATGTCTGTTAAACCTACTTGGGTCATAACTTCTGTTAGTCCCTTTGTTTATTTGTTATATTTCTGCCTGATAGTCCTGTCCAGTGGTGATAGTGGGGTGTTGAAGTCTAACACTATAAGTGTGTGGAGTTTAATGTAATTTGAGTAGTAATGTTTCTTTTACAAATGTGCATGCGTTTATCTTCAGATGTTCAGAATTGAGACTTCAACCTGATGTATTTTTCTTGTGTAGAATGTTAAGTGACCTTCTTCATCTCTTTGGATTAAATTTAGTTTGAAATCTAATTTGTTAGATATTAGGATCACTACCCCCGCTTGTTCCTTGGGTCCATTTGATCGGAAAATCTTTTCCCAAGTCTTAATTCTGAGATAACTTCTGTCTATGAATATGAGGTGTGTTTGTGTATACAGCACAAGGATGGATTCTGTCTTTGTATCCATTCTCTTAACCTGTGTCTTTTTATAGGTGAGTTAAGACCATTGATATTGAGGGATATTAATGACTATTGATTGTTAAATCTTAATTGTTTTGGATTTGATTTTGGTGGTGGTATTTTGGTAAAATGAAATTATCTTTGACTATGTTTTTGTGAGTGAAGTTAACTTCCTTGGGAGGGAGTTTTCCTTCCAGAGCATTCTGTATGG